AAGCCTTGTGGTGGACCCACTGCAGCTGGTTTTCATGTAGGAGCAGCCGGTCCAGGTTCACCAGGCCCCGAAAGGTGTCCTGGCCCAGGCTCCACAGCTTGTTGCCATGAAGAAACAGGTGGCTGAGATTGACCAGGTCCACAAAGATGTCATCCTGCAGGTATTCAATGTGGTTGTCCTGCAGGTAGAGATACTGTAGGCTATGCAAGCCATTAAAGATGCCCGAAGGCAGTGCACTGAGCCCACACTTATAAAGGTAGAGGGCGTGAAGCTTTACCAGGCCCTGGAAGGTCTCAGGTGCCAGAGTCTGTAGTTGTCTGTTGTCGCCCAGGTCCAGCTCTTCCAGGTGCACGAAGCCCTCGAAGGTGTTGGGGTCAATGAAGGTGATGTTGTTGGAGTAGATCCACAGGGTGACCATGGCGGGGCTGAAGTGGCCCTGCTGGAGAAGGGTGATGTGGTTATTCTGCAGGAAGATGCGCTCACTGTCCTCAGGAATGCCCTCAGGGATGGCGGCAAAGTTGTGTGCCTGGCAGCTGACTGTCATGGGAGCTGGGTAGCACACACAGTCCCTCGGGCAGCCACTGCCCAGGGGCAGCTCCGCAACCAGCAGCAGCAGCAACAGCAATTCCACACAGCACCCTGGCAGGGAGAGAGACAGCACAGCCAGTCAGGGGCTGCCCAAAGAGGTGGGAAGCAGACAGAGTGCAGAGGATGGTCCTGTGTCAGTCCCCTGCTGGGCCTGCTGGGGCTATCCCCTTCTGGCCTGTGCTGAGGGTCTGTCAGGAAGCTCCCTGAGAGTCTGGCCCCAGAATGGAGGAAAGCAGAGGTCAGAGTCCTTACCTGGACTCTGTTTTGAACTGGAACGCTCTACTTCTTGGCACTCCCCACCTACTGAGGGTTAATCCTCAGCCTGGGTGGGAGGTATATTTGGGGCAAAGGCCCTGATCACTCCCATACCCAAATGCTCCTGAGCCTTGCCTGCTTGGGCTGTGTCAGCCTTGCTGTGTGAGGGCCACATCCATGGACACAGCCAGCCAGCTTCCGGCTCTCGTCCAGGCTCAGCTACTGCTTGCCATGATCGGCATTCACAGAGAGTTGTTCTAACAAAGTAAATATCTCCCACAGAGTCCTGAGGAATCATTTTATTTAAATTATTCCCCAAAACAAGCAAAGCATGCATGCACGATGTCAAAGTGCACCTCAAAAGATGTTTCATTTACAGTGCCTTCCACAATCCTCAAATATGTGATGTCCCCTCTGTGCCCAATTTCCTCATTTCTAAAAGACAGGTAGCAATAGTGCTTCCTCACAGAGCTGTGCAGGTATATGGAGGTCTCACGTGTCTGTGAGGGGCTGGGGGTGGCACCAGGGCTGACACATTACACTACTCTGGGGTTCATGAAACTGCCAGACTGACACAGCCCCCAGCCGGGTCCACCTTCTAGTCTTGTGCCCCTCCTGGTCTCCAGGCTGTGGCTGCAAGGCCAGGCCTTGCCTCTCAACTGTCCGGAGCATTTCCTCTGTAGCTTCCCTCTAATTGGGCATTAATTAGGCATTCGTTAATGGATCCTTAAAATAATTTATTTTCAGATATGTCCAGCCTGTGGTCGGGTAATAGCCCCATGCTCATTATCATAGCAGCCTCATTATGGATGATCGTCATTACCTGCCTTTTTCCAGGGTCATAGCTGCCCCAAGCGGCCCAGCAGCCACGCCAGGGTGGAGGGGACAGGCTCCAGGCCTATATACACCCACCCTAGAGGGCCTGGCAGTCATCTCCTCCCTCGATGAGTTGGCCTCTTGCCCCTTTTCTTCCAGCTTGTCCAGCCGTCCCTCTTGAGAGAGCCAGGGTGCCTGGGGCAGTTCAGCAGAGTCTTCCAGCTGCCAGCTGTGCCCAGAGCATGTGGGGTGAGAGAACCCACCCTCCTGGCCACTTCAGGGCCAGTCAGCTGCCTGCCTGGGCTCACAGGCCTGCTGCTGCCCAGGCCCAGCCACTGCCCAGGCTCCTGGTTGAGAAGGTCTTACCACTACTGCCACCTCCTTGTTCCCAGCAGAAACGGTGTTGTACATAAGTGACAGCTCCCAGCTGTTGGGAGTTATGGGCTCCCAGAGAGTGGCAGCTGCTTCCTGTCCCCCTGCAATCACCCGGCTTCAACTGAACATTTCCAGCACATAAAAATCATTGCACATAATTTAGTTTTTGCATAATTGGGTTCGGTTGCTATTTCAGAGCAATTATGCCCTCAGTAGTGGTGGCAACATAGCATTAAAGATCCTTTCTGAACCAAGCCATTCTCTGTGTGGCCCCTGCAGTGCCCTCCATCACCCCAGCCACTGGACATCCTATAGGCCAGTCCATTGCTACAGCCATCTCTACCTCAGTTTCTTCCTCCAGAACATGCCTACAAGATGACTGCTCTGACAGCCCTCCTGCTTGGAGGCCTGGGTGTAGCCTCCAGCCCCCATTGCTGCCTCCATCTGCCCAGGAGCCCCAGGCCTGCTGGGGGAGGCAGCGGTGTGAGGGTATAGAAGACTGGGCTCCAGGTCCCGGCTGACTCTCAGGGATCCTGCCTTACACTGGCTACACTTTCTATAGGGCCAACCCTCCAGATCACTTGGCTCAGCTCACACCTCTCAATCTGCCCAGGCTGCTTTCTTCTGGGAAGGCACACCTGCCAGAGTCTTCCCCAGGGAATGGCCCCCTTCTGGTCACTCCGTGGGCACCTGGGCTCTCTCTCCTGACTCAAGGGCAATCACAGTGCTCACATGCCCATTCAACACTTCAGGTTGAAGGGGACACAGCAGTGCAGTTGCCACCAGAGGTCCTGTAAAGACAAAGGCATTTTCTACCATCAGTCTGCAGCTGCAGAGCGCGGGGTAGGGGGTGGGGTCTGTGTCAGGCTTAGCGCTAATACCACTCGACATTTATACAGCTCACTGGAGTTTACAGAGCACTTCTGTCTGCGCTCCTCTGATCCCCAGACTTACCCTGTGTGGTGGGGGTGTCGGGTGGCCCTCCTGTACTTGCTGCTGTGGCTCTAACTCTCTAAGGCCCCCAAAGAAGTGGGGTGGGGGGCCCCAAGGGGAGATGTACTCCCACCCCCAGGAAAAGAAAGCTGGTACCTCCAGGTGATACAGTGTACAAGAGAAACCAGACAGGACCTCAGTTTTAGTGAAAAAGCCAAAGTGCCCACAAATCCAGGTATGGGCTTAGTGGAAGACTTGTACATGCATGGTGGCAGGAGGAAGAGGCCAGAGGGCAGGGCAGCATGAAGGTGGGACCCGAGGCACTGGTCCTCCTCACCTTCCTCTGAGAGGGCCAGGAGAATGAGGGACCCCAGCCAAGGCTTGGCCCAAGGCCAGGCTCATGTTCCCTGTTATCTCAAGAAGGAACACACTGTTGTGTTGGGATCTGGGGCAACAAGGACACAGGGACTATATGGGGCAATCACTTCCTGCCAAAGGCCAGAGGACAATGAAGGGTTCCCTGGGAAACAGGATGGTGGGATCGTGCCCAAGGCAGCTGCTCTCCATCCTTCAGTTCTGCCCGAGTGCCCTTCCAGATGTCTACCCCTCCCACTGGGGGAGAGGTCTCCCTATCTACCCTGGAAGCTGCTCCATCTTCAAGACCCTTGACTAGCTGTCCCAGTCAGCTCCACCCACTTCAGACACCCCCAGTTTAGCCAGTGGGTGCCAGACCCTGGATCATCACACTGCAGATTTCTTCCCATGGAGGCAGGAACTACGTTGCCATGGCTCCTCCTGTGCCCCCTCCATGCGGCCTTTGGGAACCCTGATTCACTGATTGCCTGATTAATGTACTAACAATGAGGCCTGCACTTTGGCTGTGCATTTTAAGACTGCAAATTAGCGGGGATGTGCGTCTCTGTGGAAGGGCCTTGCATTCCCCAATGGCCTCCTCAGCCCCCTCCTGGGGTGGGATGGGTAGGGCTCTGCCTGAGGGTTCTGGAGAGGGCAGGCCTGGGGCTCACCCGCTTGCCTCCTCAGGGTGATGCACTCTGCTGCTCACTGCTCCCAAGCCTCCCAGCCTCCTGCATCAGAGCTCACCAGGGTCTGCACAGCCTCATTCATTCCTTCCTCCATTCACACTTGCCCGGAGTCTGGAGAGTGGGAGGTGGCCGTGTGGGGAAGGCCTTGGAGCCATCATGCCTCACTAACAGGGTGGGGAGCTCATAAGACCAGGATGTCTGGTCAGGTGCTGGGCCCAGGGCCCAGGTGCGGGGTGGGGAAAGTTGGGGGAGGCCCCTGCTGCCCCTGTGCCATCTGCCAACATTATTCTGTCGCTGGCTAACAATGTGGCACCAATGGTTCCTCAACGTCTTGGAGTAGATCTCTGAGAAGAGTTCCTGGCCCCTGGGGCTGCCTTGGGACCCAGTAAGAAGCCTCCAGGTTCAGCATGGACGAGCACAGAGGATGCACAGGCAAGGGAGGTGGCCGTGTTTCAGGTCCTCCTTTCTGCAAATTCTAACTCCCACTTGCTGGGCAGGGACCACAGTGGGGAAGAGTACAGACAGCCACCTTACCCAGCCCTTTTGGCAGCCCCTAGATGTGTTTATGTATGGTCCCATGGGGGCCAGACCTGGTGAGGTGGGTGGGAAGGCAAAGACAGCAGGCAGAGCATGTGCAAAGGCACTGAGGTGGGAAGTCATGGCTGGCATTATCTTTTTCTGTCCCCTTCTAATTAGGCAGAGCTTCCAAGGAGGCTGTAACTTCAGCTCAGCTGGGCCAGTAAAACCCAGGGCTGGCATGGCCAGAGAGCTGGCCTAGTACTGGGACTCCACTGACAGGGCTCCTGCTCCAGGCCCAGGCCAGACATTCAGTGTGGCAGGGGCCCCCGCAGGACCTGGTTTTAACTCTTACCACATTCTTTACATGGAGCTTCCTGGAGAAGGAAAGAAGGTACCTCTAGGCAAGCACCTGGCCAAGCCCTACAGCTGGGGAGCAGGGCAGAGGAACAAGTCATGGCCCTCTGCTCCTCCCAGCTCCAAGGTCTCAGGCCACTCCCTCCCACCTGGCCTGGACAGAGGGCTGGGGGGCTGTCCTGGCCTGCAGGCCTGTGAGCCTCACTGAGGTTTGGAAACCGGTCAGCCACATGGTCAGCCCTCTGGCTCTGCAGCCCTGCCTCTCCGCTCTGCAGGCTGAGCTCCCCCTGCCCCCAGCCTCACCAGATGCTCCATTCTAAGCCAATCGATGCTAACTGAATGCTCTCTGCTGCTTGGATAACGGCCTCAGGCCAGGCTGGCTGCACTCAAGGGGTTGCTGGCGCCTCAGGCCACTTGGCATTTTTACCACTAGTGTCCTAACTAAGCACAAGCCCCTTCCTGATGAGTCCCCTCTGCCCCTCACAGCCTGGTTCAACCCTGGAGACAAGAAAGCCTGCCAGAGCACAGCTGGGCTCCCCTCATCAGCCCACTCTGCTGGCCATGAGGGCAGGATGGCCAGAGAACATGATTTGGAGCCAGAGAGACCTGGATTCAAATTCTAACTTCCCCACTTAACTAGTGTGTATCTTTGCTTATGCAAGCCTCATTTTTCTCACCTATAAATTGGAGACAATCACTAAAGTTCTAGTCTGGCCTTCTCAAGTGTAGACACTGGCATCCACCTGCCTCATCCAC